TAGCAGTATACTGATGGAGTGTTATGGGCATTTGGTTGGGTTGTCTACAGATTGAGAGTCACTGATTCATGAAATTTGAGCTAGTTTTTGGAAAGAAAATTAACTGTCATTTCATACCTCCTTCTCTGCCCCTGATGCAGGGGAAATTAACTAGCTTTAAGAATGCAGTATTTAAAACATAATACTTCAGGAAAAATAAGTTTAATATTTTTGTCTTATGTTTTGCTTTCAGTATTAGTATTAAAATATCTCCAGGTCTATCTAGTATATCTATTACTTTACTGTCACTTATGAGTTCACTCCCATTAAAGTTAAACTGTATTGTGGCAACATGTTTTTATTGTAAGTGGATGTGGGGGGAGCAGTGATAACTGTAAAGGATGACTCTGTTTAAGATAATTTGCAATAGTTGTCTACATGCAGAAATCCTGTAAAGACCAAGCATTGCATGACCTTGGCCACTGCTTTTGGAACTGGATAAATAAATTGGCCCATAAATTGATAGAGGTCTTTATGCTGCCAATAGTGAGATGCGTATTAAGATGTAGGTGATTATATTTCCCACCAACCTTAATTAACACACTACACCATTGTCATAAATGGTAATTACACCAACCCCAATGCTAGATAAAGTAAATGCCATCTATACTTTGTGTTTTTGCCTTTTCCATTCAATACTCATTGGATAAAATTAATAAATAACAGCAAAATGGTTTCTGCCCCACTGGGCTAAGACCCAGAACTCAGGATCCCCTCCATCCCAGGATAATGCCCATATCACTGAACTTCAAAGCAAGTCTTCCTCTGGTTTACTCTGATTCTGGCTGACCAGCTTCACCAATAGGGATGGAGGATCCCCTTGGCTCTGCTTAACCTATAGCCTGCAGGATATGATACTTTGCTAGGAAGCAGGAGATGTTCAAACACACTCAGAGGTGGCAGAGATTGGATTGAGACCACTAGCCTATTGGGCTAATTGGAGTGAGGACCCTTTTCTGCTGTCCCCCACTATGCAGTTTTCAGGGGGAGTAGCATGTAAATCTACTTAGGAGGCCCAAAGTGGTTAAAGTTATTGGTATAAGTGATTCTTACCTGTCTCAAGGTAGAATCGGATTTGGTGTTTAGTCTGTAGGTTGTTCTTGAGTATACAAGATTGACAACCAAGATGCACTGGTTAGTTTTATCTGTATTTATTTCAGTTACAGAGTCAGAATAATTTCAAAGAATAATCTCTGATGCAAATATAAAGTATACGTTCTAAACATTTATTTTGCACAAATAGCCTGTAAAATTCATTGACAATTCTTTAGATCCACAAATATTCTTGAAAGTAAGCTCATTCCCTGAAAATGAAAAGAATGGTAAAATTATATTCAGGTACATATTTTCTTTTAAGCTATTCACCTACCTCCAGTAATAAATCACAAGAGATATCAGATGCATATAAGTAATGTGGAGACTAAAATCAATATTTGTTTTTGTTTGCCAAAATATTTTTCTCTCTCACTTTCTAAAGATAAAACATGATGAGACAAAAATTTGTTTATCTAAAAACTAAACATAGCATATTACATTCACTGAATTACCAGAGATATTAACAGATTTGTTTCAGAAAACTGTGGATAAAGGAGGTTGTACACTGTGAGGTACAAAACATTTTAAAAAGTTCAGATACATAAAGCTATAGAACAGAGAGATAATATCATTCACTCTTTTGAGCCACATCTTTTTTAGTTATTTAATAGTTAATTCATATTTGATATAGTTCAGTTAACCAAAAGAAATAATTTAACAAAAACATAAATAACATTGGTATTCTGCCCACTCATTGGAACAGAATACAGCACATAAATCACACTTGCACACTTGTCAAATAATCTCTTTAATAAAGATTTCTCTTTTCTAATTCATATAAAGAATTTGGGCCAGATCCTTTGCTACACTTGCCAAGGGGCAGAGTCCATATCAGCAGTTCCAGTGCAGTTCCAGACAAGATTTATAGGGGCTGTCTAAAAGATATAATTGGAACATGTACATATATGACAAAAGCCTAAGCTCTGGTAGCATCTTAATGATATCATATGATGGTGGTAATGTTATCAGGTCAGGAATGAGCCAGAGAAGGAAAAGAATGGAGACTGGTAGGGCTGTGTGAAACTTTGGTCCCTGATTTGATTCGTCCTGATTTGGTGGTTGAAGCTCTGAATCTGAATCGAATCAGAGGACCTTTTAATCTCTCCAAATTGAATTGGAACCCTTCAAATTGATTAGGAGAGATTCGGAAATATTTGGAGATTTGGATATAGACACAGCTATAAATGTTTTTTCTACATACCTCTAGGTACCAGGTGGCTGGTGAATGCTGTGATGCTGGGGTACATGGAGTGTCCCACAGAAGCATAGGGGGCTCCCTAGTGCACTCGGCAGCAGACCCAGAAGTGGACGAGAAACACGTCTAGTCAACTTACAGGTCCACTGGAGAGCATGTTGGCGGCCCCCCACCATGCTCCCCTGGCTCAGTGACTGGTGCCTCCTGGGTCTGCGGGGGGCACCTGGGGTCTCTTGAGGGACAAGCACTAAGCCAGGGTAGTGCAGGCCACCCCCCCTCCCCACTCGCCGGCAGACCCTAAAGTGGACCGGTAGTACTTCTGGTCCACTTCTGGGCTCACTGCCGAGCATGTGCAGGCCCCCACCACACTCATGGGATGCTTCATCTGCCCCAGTATTTCAGCATTCACAAGCCACGCTGGTACCTTGAGGTATATAGAAAAAAAAAACATTTAAAGCTGTGTCTATGTCCAAATCACTGATTCTTTGAATCTTCAGATTTAATCTTCAGATTCGGATTTGGCTGAATCAGTGACAGTGATCCAAATCAACGAATCAAGTTACTGTCCCTTATTTGGGCCAAATCCAACTCAATGTGAATTGGATAGGGCCTGCTTTGTACACCCCTAGAGACTGGCAGACTAACTTCTCCTCAGTTCTTCTATTCCTCCCTCTCTATAAGATGATCACTGCCACCATCTCTCTCTGCTTTCATCTACCGCCCCAACCCCATGCACACTCAACTTCCTCAGAGTGCAGCTAGGTTATTTGTCTATAATGTCAATGTAAAGCACCATGTGAAGAATAGATGATGGTAGTGGTGCTCATAGCCCTATAGACCAGACAAATGGCTCAGGGATGGCCCACAGGCCCAGTTGGGTTCTGCACCATGCCCATTTGCCAGGATTGGGGTGGGTATCCTCTATGACCCCTGCCTTGCCAGAGCCTGATCCTGGTCAGTTGGGAAAAGCATGTGACTCCTAGACCTTGATCCCAGCTGGGTGGGGGCAGTTTTAGTCCTCAGGGCCTGATCTCAGCGTGCAGGGATTGAGCAGAGGTGATAGACAGAGGTGATGCAGGTCCTGATCCCAAGCTGATGGTGGTGGCCCAGGATTCTGTGCTGCCTCTGCCTGGATGCAGTCAGGCTCCAGGGGTCATGCACTGCCCCCACCTGTCCTCCATACACTGGGATTGGGCCCTTGCTACCCTGCATGTCCAATCTAGTGTGCAGGGTGATAGCCCATGGAGTTCCCATGGATTTCTGGGGAGCCCTATGGGCTGCATGCACAGTCCTGGGGGCTTTATCCAGACCATAGGCTAGGGGCTGAGCACCCCTGAATTATGGCATAAAGATTTGCCACTACAACTTATATATAGTTTATGTCCTTTTTACCATTACGGTATTCAAAAGTCTACTCTTATGTAAACTCTCACATGCACAGTTAACTTTACCTCCATGAATAGTCATTATAGAAAAAGTTAAAAAGGTTTGCATGGGTCTTCAGGATCATGCCCTAAGCAATGTGACTATAACTTGCTATGCATGATTATTCTCTCCCCAGAGCAGAATTCTGTGTAATATCGTCTTTTGCTTTGGTAATTTATTTCACTTCATATTGTAACTGATTATGCTCAAAGCAGGTCAGGAATGGATATTGGTAGCTTCTTGATCTTGGGACCACATGTACACTGGTCTAGGACCTAGCAAGGTCTTGAGTATCTGGGTTCTCTGTTCCTTACTATAACTGTGATTTAACTTTAATGTAAATTAACAATCTTAAGGTGATCAAGGTCTGGGAATCTTGACCTGTTAATGTAAAAAAGGTGCCAATTCAGTTTAGGACACAGGAAAGGTTTTAGATTAATGAAAAGTGAGCGTCACAAACATGAGAGAGTGAGAGAAGGATAAAAATCTATTATAGATAGATACATCTAACATATAAATTGCATGTATGTGGATAGACAGATGCACACACACACATACATACACCCACACAACTGTATCTATTTTAATGTACTTTATTTTGTTCCAGTAATTAGCTGCTGAAGAAGCTATTTTTGCAGGCATGACACTGTTCCCCTCCCCCACAAAAAAAAAATTTAAACAAAGATTTTAATAGAAAGAAATATTAAAAATCCATTGAGACTCAATTATTTTTAGCTTAGTAGAAACTCTGAGAATGTTGTCACATCCATGTATGACTGACCCTGCCGTGACTCAAAACCTACAAAATTACAAGGAAATATAATTAGCGAGGGTATAAAATGGCTCAAAGGCACAAGCAAGGACAGAAGCTGTACAATACATTTCTAAGACATTTTTTTTTCCTTTTGTCATCTATGCTTTGAATATTTGGCTTTCCTAATACCATAATTGTCTAGAACTTGTAAATGGGAAAAACATGTTGGCTACATTTCTCCTTTTCCTTATACAGCCATGGGGTAGGGAATGTACAACTACCTTGGCAGGCTTTGAATGGACAACAGGAGACCCTGTCAGAATTGCACCCCTAGGGTCAGTGTAGCTTAGATTCCATTGCATAAGGAACAACTGTATCTCAACAGAAACAGGCAAGAGGGAAGAGTGGGTAATGCTTACATTTCAAAGAAATAGACATGGGAAGCCTTGTCTGCTGGCTATCCAAATCACTGTTCCTCCATTCTTTATCATTGGTCTGGGTTGGTGATTGATAATATGTTGATTGATTCTATATACTCTTTATATTTGAAGTGAAAACAAAACAGTTAGGGGTGATGTATTTGATCAAATTCTAAGAACATAGCATGTCATTCTTATCTCTTTGGAGACCCTACCCTTTCTGTTCTTCTGTTTCCACTCTAACTGTGTGACAGGGATTATGTTCAAAGCACACACAAATCTTCCCTTCTACAATCTCCCTCTCCATTTCTCCCCATTAAAAAAAAGTGTGTGTGGGGGGGAGGAGAACACACATGCACACACACCACTAAGAAAGTCTTAAGGTAACAGTGTTGGTGAATTGGAACAGATTTTAAAGTGTTTTGGCTTACAACTCACTCACAGTTCTCTTCCAACCCTCCCCGCATCACCCTCCCCCAAGTAAAAGACTATAACATCCTTTTTGTTAGTTGTCTGCTCCAAAAGTCTGAGATAAAACATGCTGACTCCAGTGGGCTTTGGGTCAAGCCCTAAGTGTGACCCTTGGAAAATATTCTGCAGCCCTGCCGTGCTCAAGCATTCAAAAATCATGGATGAAGCCCAAAAGAAAAATCATAAAATTGATTAAAAAATCAAAGGGTTTTTAAAAATAAGGTGTGCATTCCCTTATCTTCAGGTTGTCTAGCTTTTCTGAAATGCTTAGGTCACATTTTCATGCTTCTTTATTCTGTAACCAGTCTAGAAATAGCCTGGTTGCAGACAGATAGACACTTTGTTTTAAATGAACAATACTAAATAACACAAGACTTGCAATGAGATCATAGGGGTTAGAAATACTGATTTGCCCACTGCATTTGAAAATGCATGCTCAGTTTCTGGGTGAAAGGGTGGCCGGTGAAGTTCACCATTCCTTCCCATCAATGCTTCATCATTTTCAGGTGCAGAGCCTTGTATAATCTTCCTGGCCTGAAATTCAGAACAAGAGCAGCCATAGGCAGAAACTCAGAACTCCAGTCTATTCCATGAAAAATCAGTGGAGCCTATATGCATCTGCAAGTTGCCAGTGGGTCAGTGTTTTTAAGTAATTTTGAGAGCACATTGTATTGAACGCAACATAATGTCAGATCACTTGGGCAAAATGATCAACATCAATAGTAGTAAATGGACTATGTCATGATTGTTAAATGCTAAGTGTCATAAACCTGTCCACTGGGAATCCCCAGAGTACCAAGTCTCCCCCAGGGAGTAGCCCTGAGGGAGCTCCCTATCCTAACACTTCATATCCTCTGCCCTTAACCTGGAGTCTGCAGAAACAGTGAAAGAAGCCCCAACTCCATTTCTGAGTTTTGGAAGAAGAAATTATAGGTTTCCTCTCTCTGTAGAGAGGGTCAGCCTGAATACCACTTACCCAGAAGCCACCCCTTACACAGGCAACCAGTAAAGAGACAAATAACAAAAGGTTTTATTAAGAAAACAGAACAATCATAAGAAACCATAACCATATGTTGAAATACAGGCAGAGATGTAAGAGTAAACAAGCACACAAAAATACCAAAACACTGACCTGTTCTTACTCTACAGCTTAAACCCAAAGATGCAGTTCTTAGCCAGTTTCAAGGGTCTAAATGAAGCTTCTGGTTCTTCCATCATGGTTTTCTTCATTCCCCTGCTTGCATAGTTTACCCAGTCTGGTTGGTGGGGGCTCAGCCTCTCTCCCTTGTATCTGGGAAGACTGAAGACAGCAGCCATGCTCTTTAGATTTCATAGACATTAGGGCTGGAAGGGACCTCAGAAGATCATCAAGTCCAGCCCCCACCCGAAGGGCAGGAAGTCAGCTGGGGTCATAGGATTCCAACAAGATAAGCATCCAATTTAATCTTGAATGTGTTCAATGTAGGTGCTTGAACCACCTCCGATGGCAGGCTATTCCAGACCTCGGGAGCTCGGACAGTAAAGAAATTCTTCCTCATGTCCAGCCTGAAATGGTCTTGCAGTAGTTTATAACCATTTGAACTCGTCATCCCTTGGGGCACTCTGGTGAACAAACGTTCCCCTGGATACCGATGCTCACCCCTGATAACTTTATAGATGGCCATCAGATCACCCCTGAGCTTGTGCTTTTCCAGGCTGAAGAGCCTCATAGATCTCAGCCTGTCATCATAAGGTCTGTTTTCCTGACCTCTGATTATGCACATGGCTCTTCTCTGGACTCTCTGAAGCTTCTCCACATCCTTTTTGAATTGAGAGGCCCAAAACTGGACGCAGTACTCCAACTGCGGCCTCACCAAGGCCGAGTACAAGGGGAGAATGATGTCCCAGGATTTGCTTGAGAAGCATCTATGGGCCGAGTCTATAAGGATGCTGCAGGTTTTTCCTCCCAAGGTGGAGAACCTTGCATTTTTGAGTGTTAAACACCATCAGGCTTTCATCCGCCCATTTTCTGAGCCTGTCCAGGTCAGCCTGGATCGCCCTCCTGTCTTCAGGTGTGGATGTTTTGCCCAAAGTTTGATGTCATCAGCAAACTTGGCCAGTACGCTTCTGACTCCAATGTTTGCATCATTAATGAAGATGTTGAACAATATGGGTCCAAGGATAGAGCCTTGGGGGACCCCACTGGTCACAGGGCACCATGACAATTGACTTCCGTCAATTACCACCCTCTGGGTCCAACCACAGAGCCAATTTCCCAGCCAGATCGTGGTGGACTCAAGGCCACAATTGGCCAGTTTCACCAAGAGATGATCATGGGATACCAGATTGAAGGCTTTTTTGAATTCAAAATATATGACATCAATCTCTTCTCCCTTGTCCAGGTGATAGGTCACCTGGTCATAAAAGGAAATGAGATTGGTCAAGCAAGACCTTCCCGCAACATACCCATGCTGGCTATCCCTCAGGATATTGGCGTCAGCCAGTCCATTAAGGATGGCCTCTTTAATAAACTTTTCTAAGATCTTCCACGGGACAGAAGTCAGGCTGCTGGGCCTATAGTTTGCCATATCCACTTTCCTCCCTTTCTTGAAGATAGGCACCACATTGGCCTTCTTCCAGTCTTTGGGCACTACACCAGAGCGCCAGGAGTTCTCAAAGATCTGTGCCAGAGTCCGGGCTATGATGCTTACCAGCTCCTTGACTACCCTGGGGTGTAGATTGTCAGGGCCAGCTGACTTGAAGGTATCCGGCCTGTCAAGGTGTTCCTTCACAAGGTCAGCATTGATGGAGGACAAGGGATCTCCCTCTCCCAGACCTCCCTGTCCCGTAGTGGGCATGGGCATCCCATGGGACTGATGAAAGACCAACGCAAAGTACCCATTTAATAGGTTGGCTTTTTCCTGGGCATC